TCTACTGGGCAGGTGGGAACTGGAAAGGGGCAGCTCGGGTCCTCTGCCACCATGCAGCCTGGAGATTCAGTCCTGGAACCTACATACCTGGAACTTGCTTGTGGAAGCTCTTGGTCACCAAGATTCTATCCAGAGTAGGCGGGGAGGCTGCCTGCTCCATTTGGGGAGTGAAACTGGCCCAATATGGGTCCCAGAGAGACCTCCAGCACTGTGGTATCTTCCAGGACTTGCTGCTGTGTCTTCGGGCCAGGGCTGTTGGTGTGCTAAGATGGCACCCAGAGGCAAATTGTGGGTGTGACAGCCAGCCTGCTGGCCAGGCGGGGACCTGGGGATGGACAGCTTGGGTCCTCTGCCACCATGTGATCTGGAGATTCAACCCTGGAACCCCGCACATCAGGGACTTGCTTGTGGAAGCTCTTGGTCACTGAGATTCTATCTGGAGTAGGTGGGGAGAACACACCTGTTCTATCTGGGGTGCCCAGGTGAAACTGACTCAGTATGGGGCCTGAAGAGATCTCTGGCACTGTGGTATCTTTTGGGACATACTGCTGTGTCTCTGGCTCAGGGCTGTTGGTGCGATAAGATTCACATTATGAAATTTTCAGCAGATTGTATCTTGGTGAGACCTATCCTGAGACAGTGGAGTTAGGCTGGGCAGCGATTTTGGATTGTGGAAGCAAGTGACTGCCAGGGGCTCTGCTTGGGTGGGCACAGGCCAACCCGCCCCTCTCCAATTTACTCCAGTCTGTTCAGCCATGCACAGGTCTGAGCTTTTCTGCGGCTTTTGATCTTTTTCGAGATTTATCTATAGGTCTCTGAAATAAGGCCAATAAATGAGCTTGTATAGTTGAGCCAGATGTGGTTTGTGGGTGTGGGTCCCACATACCTAATTTGTGTCCATTTACTTTCTTGGTAAACTTGGTCCCAAGTTGTTGGGATCTGGCCATAGGCACAGTGGCAATTTTGGGGTATCAGGAAGCCTGAAGGCACTATAAGGCCGCTGAGGAAATTTTCCTGAATTATATTTTAGACATGTTTTTAATATGTCCCTTTCTGGATTTCTTTTGTTTACTGAAACTGCTGAACTGGTAATCTAGTTCTTCCTACTTTTCCATTTTTTAAATGAACTTTTTTTATTCCCCAGATAAAATATCTTAAGCCTGTTGTGTTCAGCAACCAGTGTCAAGAGAAATCATAGCCAACAAATCCAGAATAAATAACCAAAGGTAACTAGCGGTGCTCGTGGAGCTCCAATGAGGCTCAGGTTATATGAGCCAAACACTGAATATTTCATCACCATTTACCCAGTCCAATCAGGGAAGTTCAACTTTCACTTACATATAACAGAGTTTCAAGTTCAAAAAGAAGCCAGGCTTAATGGTACGTCCCCCACCTCCACCCCAGAATGATTAATTACCTAATAAGGTATATGTTTGTATAGCAGAAGAGATAGTATGGGTGATGTGAGAGGTGAGGAAGGTCCACTTGCTGGGTTTCCCCCCACTGTTGTGTTCTGCCAGGGTACACACTTTAGAGTGGTCGCTTTAAAGATAGAGAAGGAAATTGGGGTGGGGGTGTGGGGTGTAATTCCAGGACTTGAACCAGGAGAGAATTATCTTGCCACAGCTGCAGCAGTATGGGCCACAAGAACAAAAAACACAAGGCTCCTGGAGTTGTGGGTGATCCACACCACAGTGTCTACTTTCAGAGCCAAAGCTGCTGAAGCAAGGGTTGGTTGCCAGTGAGGCCCAAAACAAGAATCCTATGGCCAGGCCACCTCCCATGCAGACTTCAGCACCAAGGATCTCCGAGGCAAGAAAGGCTCCCACATTTATAGTCTTAACTCTGCAAATGATACTGGTGGTCTGGCAAATCTGGATAAATCCATTTTAAAACTCACTCAGAGATGCCTCTGAACCTTGCACCAGGTTGATTTCACCCAGGTGCTGTCATCTCTCCACCTGCCCCAAATGAATCCTGGCAGCCTCAAACCTAAAGAACTCCACGAAAAACCCAGGTATTTGGGACCAGTGACTGAAAACTCTAGCTAGGACTCAAGGGTCCTGGGATGGGCCACTCCTTCCCATGTAAATTTCATCTTAAAACTCACCCAGAGATGTCTCTGGACCCCAATTACTTAAAATTTTAGAATTTCAGGAGCACACGGCTGCAAAAGTACCCAAAACTTCTTATACTATTTATAACAAACAATACAAAATAAATTATCTAGCATCTGCCTGTGGCAGACAGGCTTGTGCAATGGTGGGAAAATTTAAAATAATGGTGGTGGGAAGGTATAATGGTGCTCGGATTGGTGTTGAAATATTGAATGTAATCAATTATTGTGAGCAACTTTATGAAAATAAAATAAAAAAATTAAAGATAGAGAAGGAAACCACCTTGAGTAATTGCTGCCTTTTTATCTCTCCCCCACAAAAAAAGTCACTAGATTTACCTGACATCTGGGCGTTATGAATAATAAAGAGTTTCATGTTCTATTTCAGAAAAGTTGCCACCTTAAGTAAAGTGAATGAGACATATAATCTGTCCTTTCTGTAGCTTAGCTATGTTAGTGTCCCACTATATAAGCACCAGGAACAAAACAGCAGGAACTAAGTCAATAGTGTAATGTCTTCCCATCAGTAAAAGAGAGTCTCTATCTTTGAAGGGTAAAAGAAGCCGTTAAAGACTTCTCTTTAAAATATATGCAATTTTTCTTTAAAAACATGGGAAAGAACCATCAGTTCTAACTTAGAATGATGATCATTTTTAAATTTTGTTTGATCATTCACTTTTAAATTTTGTTTTAGGGTCATAATCAGCAGTGCTTGGGGGTTGCTCCTAGAAGTATTCTGTGGATTATGAGGTGCCAAAGGTCAAACCTGGGTTTCCTACATGCAAAGCATGTACTCAGTCCAATGAGCTACCTCCCTGCCCCTTCATTTTTCGCTTTTAAGAGATTTCCCTAAAACAGTCATTTACCTAAAATGACAGTTTTCAATTCTAGTCTCACTTTCTAGATTCTGAAACTTCCAATATAAATATAAACCTAGGAAACAAAGTGATAGGTCTTTGTCTTGCCTATGGCTGATACTGGTTCAATCTCTGGCACCACAAATGGTTCCCTGAGCCCCACTAGGTGTGGCCCAATCCTTCCCTATAACCCATAGTAAATATAGTATGCTGTTATTGTGTTCAAATTCAGGCACCTGGAATAACAGAAACTAAAAGGTCTAGTAGAGTCTGAATTCCAAAATTTCCCCTTATGTTGGTTGGCTAAATGCATCTTAATAAACAAGGTAAGACAACTCCACTGAACAAAACCCAAAGCTTTTCAGACCAGGTTCTCTAATTAGATGGATGTCATAACTGAATTAAACTTTGTGCTACCTTCCCTAAAAGTTGAAAGATTTCACAAAGACCACACCCTTGAGTCTTAGCTCTGCCTCACTTCCTTTTCTTTAGCAGTACCTCTTTTCTCAGAATGTTTACAAAATACTATGGGTTGAAGTGCACACAAAAAAGTGTAACATAAGAGAAATTGTGAACGTGATATTCTATCCTCTGGAGTACACATACTACTCAGTTAGCTAAGCCACACAAGTGATTTTATCTTATTTTAGGTTCTGTGACTTATAATGATAATATTGTTAATGACAGCACACAATGTTCCAACACCACACCCTCCAAAATAGTGGGAGAGAGTCTGGATAGGGGAACTAAAAGCAAGAAAGCATATACTCAGTATGGAGTATAAAAGAAGACTATGTGGGAAGGAGGCATAAATAATAAAAACTTGGAGGGGATGGCCAGGGAGTCAGATCATAGTGTTGGGAGTACATGCTCTGCATGTATGCCACTTAGTTTGATCTTTGGCACTGCATAATGCTCTCACCACTGCCGGAATAGGTCCCAGGGAAGGAACTCCCAGCACCAACAAGTGAGACCTAAAAAACACAATAAAAGCAAGGCCAAGCAAAACCTCCAGAGAGCTGGAGGGAAAGCTTAAGTGAAGCACATGCCTAGTAAATGAGAGGTGAGTTTGACTCCTAGTCCCCCAGCAACTCCAGACCCAGGTGCTGAACATTGCTGAGAATAGTCTCTGGGCCTCTGAGCATAAAAGGGGGTGACCGCCCCTATAAAATAACAAGATAAATGCCCAGAATTTGTGAGGCCTTATTTCGAATTTGTGAGATTCTGTCGTTCTCAAAAAGGAAACAAATTTTAGGAGTTTGAGGAACATCGATCTCAAGCTTAAGGCATTTTCATTTTAGAAAAAATATATGAAGCTCGCATTATAGTAAAGAATATACTACTACTAATATATATATCATATTTATAGTAAGCTTTCTTTAGACAATTAAAAATAATATATTATCTTCAAAGGATCTAAATCCAGGATTTCTGTCCTTACACCAAGTTATTCTCTACACAACATTACCTGTGTTCATCTAGCTGCTTACGTTAACAATGTTCCCTATCATTCTACTGTAACCACTTCAAGGATTCTTATAACTTCAATGTACTAAGCACTACTGAAATGAATTCTTTATTTTTCTTTGCCCATTCACTTTTCAGTAATTACGATCATGATTCAACAGACTTTGTTTTCACTGTTTACAATCTCTTTTCTTTGGATGCCCTCAATTTTGCAAATAAACATATACATGATAAATATGTCTCATTTGCCAAGGCATCAAAAATCAGATGGGCTGGACACGTAATGAAGTTTACAGACAACTGCTGGACTAGAGCCATTACTGACTGGATTCCACAGGACATCAAAAGATCGTGTGGACGCCCACCTACAAGATGGTCAGACTTCTTTGTCAAGAACCTGAATAATCAGTTGGAGGCTCTGCATGTTCCTAGAACGAGCAGATGCTATTGGGCTACGCTAGCACGCAACAGGGATGAATGGAGACGTTACTGGCACCCGCTCGAGTAAATCGATGAATAACAGGGTATCAAGTGATCAAGTGATGATAAATGAAACCTACCATTGGTGCTCCAACTGTTTTCTCTTACAATTAGAGTTGACAAATACCATCACAGAAGGTCTGTTTCTGAAGGTAAACAGAATAAAGCCCAGGTTACTATCCAGGACATTTCCTCTGAGATATATAACTATCATGACTAACTTTCCGAAATTTTTCTTTAAATAAAGCCCTTAAAAAATGTTTTTCCCACAGTATGGACGATTCTCAAAAAATTAGAAATTGAGCTCCCATTTGACCCAGCAATACCACTCCTGGGAATATATCCCAGAGAGGCAAAAATGTATAGTCGAAGTGACATCTGCACTTGTTTGTTCATTGCAGCACTCTTTACAATAGCCAGAAACTGGAAGAAACCTGAATGCCCAAGAACAGATGACTGGTTAAAGAAACTTTGGTACATCTACACAATGGAGTACTATGTAGCTGTTAGAAAAGATGAAGTCATGAAATTTACATACAAGTGGTACAATATGGAAAGTATCATGCTAAGCGAAATGAGTCAGAAAGAGAGGGATAGACATAGAAAGATTGCATTCATCTGGGGGATATAAAGTAACAAAATATGAGATTAATACCCAAGAATAGCTGAGATCAGCACCAGGAGGATTACTCCATAACTTAGAGGCCAGCCGGGTATCCTAGAGGAAAGGGCAGTTCAGATAGAGAAGGGAGCACCAAATAAAGTATGTTTGGAGGATCCTCCCAGGAGGGGAGATGCATGTCGAAAGTAGACTATGGACTGAACATGTTTGCCACTCAATGCCTCTTTTGCAGACCACAACACCCAAAAGGAAAGAGAGAACACAGGGGATTGCCCTGCCACAGAGACAGGGGGGATGGGGGGATGGGGGTGGGAGGGATATTATCCATGGTGGTGGAAAATGGGCACTGGTGGAGGGATGGGTATCTGATCATTGTATAATTGAAACCAAAGCACAAAAAATCGTAAATCTACAACTTTAAAAAAAATAAAATAAAATAAAGGGAAAAAAAATGTTTTTCCCTGGCCATAGATATTAGTCCATTAGGAAAAAAAGGGGCTAGGAGGACTGATCAATGGTTGGAACTAACCACAAGTGTATGTGGGGCGGAGGGTAGATAAGAGAGAAGAGACCAGTGTGACAATAATAGCAAGGAATGATCACGCTGGACAAGATCTGAGGGTTAAAAGCGGGAATAGGGGAGAGGGAGGGAGGGAAGGAGGGGGAAGGAAGAGAGGGAGGGAGGGAGAGAGAGAAATGCCTGCCATAGAGGCAGGAAGGGGTGGGGGTAATGGGAGGGAACCTGGGGACACTGGTGCTGGGAAATGTACACTGGTGGACGGATGGGTGTTGGAATACTATATGACTAAAATTTAACCATGACCAGCTCTGTAGGGATCTATCTCACAGTGATTCCATAAAAAAGTAAAAAATTTAAAAAAATTAAAAAGAAATGTTTTTCTTTGTTGATCAACAATATTCAACATCAACACTAGTGAAAATTTGAAGATGACTAGGAAAGCAAATTTTGTGTTACCTGTATTTTAATCACAATTAACAACAATTTTTTTGTTGTTGTTTTGTTTTGAGCCTACACCCAATGTTCCATTAGGCTTACTCTTGGCTCTATTCTCAGGGTTCACTCCTGGCAATGCTGGAAGGAGATGGGGACTTGAGGGAGTTCATATGCAGTGCAAGGATTGTACTAGGGTTGGCTGCATTTAAGCCAAGAGCCTGAACTTTCATACTATCTCTCGGGCACACAGAAAAATGGTGTTTTTTTTTTGTTTTTGTTTGTTTTTATGGATTAGAGATTTAAAAACTATGACACACAAATTACACAAATCCCAATGTTTTGTTTTTGGTTCCAAAGGAACTTACCACTGTAAGTTCCAATCCTCCTAAACCTTTTTGAAAAATCACTTTTTGTCAAACACTGCACCTGGTTCAAAAGATTCTAAATGCTAATTAGCACCCACTGACAAGGCAGCTCATTCCATACGGCTATCCTTTAAGATAATTCATAATTTTGTCCTGGACTATAATGGTTCTGCTCTAGATAATAGCTTCCTCTTTCCCTTAACCTATGATTGAAAACCATACAACATCACTTCTCAGCCTTTTGGCTAAGATCACGTGAATACCATAGCAGCAAGCAGGAAAAATAGGAAGGGAGAATGACCACCATAATATAAACCTAATAAAAATGATATTTAGCTTAACATAATTAAGCAAACTGAAAATGAAATAGCTATATTTATGCTTATAGGGTGTTGGGGTGGAGTGAGTGGATAAATAGCAACAGCCAATCTGCTAAAGAATGAAACCAGAATTAGAATAGCTAAGTTTTACAACAAAGGTAATATTTGGGAGGCTGGAGTGATAGCACAGCGGGTAGGGCATTTGCCTTGCATGCAGCCAACCCGGGTTCGAATCCCAGCATCCCATATGGTCCCCTGAGCACTGCCAGGAGTAATTCCTGAGTGCAGAGCCAGGAGTAACCCCTGTGCATTGCCGGGTGTGACACAAAACGAAACAAAAAAAAAAAAATATTTGTTTACCAGGTACTCTGGGATATGAACAGTTTTATAAAACATGCAAAGTCCTTTTTGTTACTGGGCAAGTCCTAAATCATGACAAACTAGAAATGGAACTGTAGCTCAGCTGTAGAGCACCTGTCTCAAATGTGTCAGGTCCTGGGTTCAATCCTGGCACTGAGAAAAATAATCAATTAACCAAGCATGCCTATGATGGCTGAATCAATTAACCTGATTAATTAATCAATTAATCAGGATTCATCTGATGCCTGAATCTTTCTGTAAATATGACTTCCATGCACATACCTGGACTATGCTAATGATTACGAGTTAATAAGTACAAATATGCTTATCTTCTTACTCATTTTTGAAATTCCCTTTGGGATTTAGCTATGGTAGAATGTCACCAAAGGTAAGAAATTTCCAACAATCTTGGGAAGTTAATGTAAACAAAGTGAAATTTATGCTTTCTCAGACTAGTTTCACTCTTGGTTTTCTTTTAAGCACAGATGTTGGGGGGGGAGGGGTGTCAGACAGAGCAATTCTCAGGGCCTACTCTCAGCTCAGTGTTCAGGGAACTATGCACTGCTGGTGACTGAACCTGGGCCTCCTGCATGCAAAGTTTATGTTTCAGATTATTATGCCATCTCTCTTATCCTGAAATACATTATAAGCCTCTGCCTACCTATAATATTTATCCTGATTGCCTCCTGAAAAAATGGGGTGGGGAAGGTTTAAAAATGATCAGAAACAATATAGATGTTATTTGCGACATTATTTCTTACTGGTGTGTCAGAACTCTTCAGTTGGATTTACTCTGAGTTTTGAAAAGCCCTGAACCTGAGTACTGTGGCCTTTTTTTTTTTTTAACAACGATATACTATTCTTCAAAGATAAGTTCTAGTGATCTCTTTCAGGTCAAAGAACATAGAGCTCTTATGCTACTTAAGCTACTTTTAGAGTTGAAAATAAAAAAAATAAAATCAACTCTGCTTTTAGAAAACCTGCATGACTGGATAACAAAAGGTGATATCAATAAAACTGAACGACTTAATTTTTAAAGTTTTGGACCATACCCTGCCATGTGCAGGGCTTACTCCTGACAGGACTCATGCTGGGGAAACATTCTGGGGTGCAGGGGATAGAACCCAGGTCGGCTGCAAGGCAAGAGTTCAACGAATCTCTGTACTACCTGCTATGGTATCTCGTATCTCAAAGACAGAATTGCAGCAAATGTCACAAACGCTGAAACTGAACAATACGATGGAGGATAACTTTGGTTCACAAACTAGAAATCGAGTAAAATAAGTCACCGTCTTCACTGGTTCAAAAAGGTAAAGCACACATAAAAAAAAAAAGGTGGGCATAAAAGATGCTCAAAAAAACCCCATACGCCGACGTTCAAAAGTTTCCCCCGTCTCCTCGTACTACTCAGTCTCCGCCGCCCCTTCGCTCGGGAAAGTTACCCGACTTGTCACTGACCAGGCGCTGACACTCCAAGAGAAAGCCACGGGCGAAATTGTGCGACAAAAAACCCGGGGGAGAGCGGGAGAAAGATTCTTTGAAGTTTTCGATCCAGGCTCTGGTAGGGAGCCTGGTCCACGTCCGGCGTGGGTGGAAATCAGGGTTGCCCCAGACGGGGTCCGAAGTTCCTGGCCCGAGCTCCCGGGACCAGAAGTCGCTTCGCCGAACGCTCCACAGGCGCCGAGCTCCGCACAGAGCCCGCCCTCGGGGCGCGGGACGGCCCCCGCGCTGACGTCGCGGCCGGGAAAGCCCCTCCAGGCGGCCCGGGCAGCGATTCAGGGAGATTCCTCTCTTGAGCTCGGTCCCTCCCCTCTCAGGACCGGGGAAATCGTCTCAGCTAGCTCCCTGGCTCCCCTGCCTACGGCGCTCCCGCGGCCAGTGCATCCCTCTCGCTCACACACTCGAACTCTCGCCGAGCCGAGCGCCAGCGAGTCCTCCACACCCACTCGCTCCCCAAGTTTCTTACTCACAGTTCGGGGATTTCACGCCAATCACTCGCGCCCTCAGGTCCGCGGCGCCGTGCCCAGGGACTTCGACCGGAAGCTCTTTTCCGTTCCAGTTCAGAGGGCAGCGCCTGCGCGTCGAGTCATTAACCCTTCACCTTCCACCCCGCCGGGCCGGGTCGGCCCGCCCCCTCGCTCCTGGCCCCGCCCCGCAGGCTCCGCCCTCACATCCTTTTCCTGAAGCCCCGCCCAGCGCAGCTCTTCCCGGGCCTCCCGGGCGAACCAGGGCTTCCCAGGCCAAGTTTAAAGGTCACCACCTAACTTTTTGCTAGCTTTTTGCTAACCATCAACAGCTGTATCTGTCATCGCTCTGTACTGGGTTAGCATACCCCAGGATCACCTTGGGGCTTGCTAAAGGTGTTAAGGTTCACCAACTCACCCCTAGAGTTGAGGAAGACTCGAGTAAAGTCAAAGGAATGAGAATTTCCACAGATCTCGCGTGGATGAGATTAACCAGATTAGACTACACACCTGAGAAGCATCACACACACACACACACACACACACACACACACACACACACACGATTCCCCTAACTAACCACTCCTTTCACTAAGTGTACTTACTAAAGTTGAATGGTAAATCCAAATAGACCGTTAAGAGTTCCTCATTTTTCCATTTCCCAGCCATGTTTGAATATTCTCCAAGATATTATAGACAGATATATTAAGACGTATACTCTCACTTCTAATACCCACTGGTTCAGGAAAGTTGCACATTAATGAAATGTTTTTTGTTTTGGGACTACACCCACTGATGCCCAGGGGCTATTCCTGGCTATGTGCTCAGAAGCAAACCTTGTCAGTGCTCCTGGGACTCTAAGCGGTGCCTGAGGATTCAAATATGTAGGGAAGAATGCAAGGAAAGCTCCTTAATCTTGGCACTATCTCTCCTTTCCATGGGCTTTAAAAAAATCGGATAAAGAAGGCAATCACTACCTATTTATTATATATATGGTTGTGAGGGTTGATCAAATAATGTTAGTAAAAACACTTGGAAAATTTAGAATGCTTTGCAAATGAAAGGTATTCTCCAGAATCATTCCTGTTATTCTGAGTGGTTCTCAGAACAGAAAGATTCTGTTTCTCCTTCTCATTATCAATGTCATCCCTGAGACTTTTCAAGAAAAAAGAGAAACACACAGCACTTGTGGAAGTTTCCTGAAAGCCCTGAAGACTAGGACTCTCCTTTGACTTAGTGTGGCTGTATCTAGCCGAATGTATATAATGTTCTCAGAAACTTCCATGGCAATGACCTATTTATTTTTTTTTTAAATTAAAAAAAATTTTATTAGTGAAACACCATAAGGTACAGTTGTAGACTTACAACTTTTTGTGCTTGGGTTTCAGTTATATAATTTTTAGTATTATTCTTATTGCCTTTACATGTATCTGGCACGGGTTAGTAGTGTTTGAAAAAGACCCTTACATACCCTCCCCCCAAGCCACAAGCATACTAAGACCCTGAAGTAGCAATTTAAGGGCCAAGATTTTAATTACTGTGATACTATTTATTGTTGCAGGCATTGCTTACTCTAGGCTGTAGGTTGTATACATAGATTTAATGAAATTTCTGTGGTTGAGAATACACCCTTTCTAATGATGTTTGTTGAGCCATGCCTTAAGTTTTTCAGCTTATTATTCTTTCACATTTTGAAAATTTCAGGCCCAGCTCTCTTTATTAATGGTACACTTTATTAATGATTGTACATGGCAAGGTATATTTTACTAATGATTGTATACTTTATTAATGTAGACTATCAATAAAGTCCACAATCATTAATGACTAATAATATTAATGATTATATACTTATTAATGATCATACATAGCAAGGTTGGACTCCCTAAGGCTCTCCTCCTCTTCCAGGGATCTGGAATGAAAACTGTTGGGGTCAGGAGATTCTTAGTGTATTGGCTTAGTGGGAGAAGGAATTCAGAGCAACTGAAGGTCTCTGTCTAATGTGGAGGCCTCTCTCCATAAATGCTCTCACTGGGGCTGGTGTCTCCTGGGTCTTTACTCTTTGGAGGCTATTGCTGTGGCCAAATTCATTGTCATGCCAGGAAATTAATTTGGTAAAATGGTTGGTGAGGTGAAGTGAACAACAGAGATAATACAACTACTCAGAGTGTTATTATAATATATGTATATATATTATTAAACATCTGTCAAATGTCATAGAATGTGTAATATCAAGAATGAGCCCTAGAGACAGGAGATAGCTCAAAAGGGTGGGAGTGCATTCTGTGATGTACAAGGCCCTGAATTCTATCCCTGGCTCTATATGACCCTGCTGTGCACTGCCAGGTGTAGCCTTGGTGGCCTATGAGCAATATTGGCATGACTCTGGTCATTCTCAGGTAGCCAGATAAAGGCAGCCCTTCATCCCAAGCACCGTAACTACCAGGTCAAGAATCAGTAGCCCCAACTGCTGAACACAACTAGAGAGGCTCCCTTACAAAAACAGTGTGAACACTATTGGAAATTATGGGCTTTGGAGGATAATAGCATTTATAAATTCATCAGTTGTAACAGATTAATATTCAAGGGGAAGGACTACATATATGATAAATTTCTGTATTTTTCTCAGTTTTTGCTGTGAACCCAAAACTCCTCTAAACATCATTCATTTTTAAATTATTATGTTAATTTAATTAACTTGTTTAATGAGTTAACACAATTATTAATTATAAAAAATGAAACTAGCTACAGTGTTATATGCAAGACTTTTCAGTTTGCTTAGGAAATAAGAAAAGGGGAAAAATGTTAAGCATGCTTTGGCTTTGACTTTAAAAGTAAGTTCAATACACAGAACAACCAAACATAATGCACTGCAACTAGATAGATTTTAAAGTCCCTGCAATAATGAGCTTAGAGAAATAGGTACAAAAAACTATGGTTAGAAACATCGAAACAAAAAAGGAAGAATTGTGGTAGACAGAACCCGATTTTACTGCTTTGATAGGGAAAAGGTACTACATTAAAAGAAAGGCACAAGATGTGAAGCTTCCCTGTGGAAATGGAAAGCTAAATCTTATGTAGATCCGTATATTTAGGAAAAATTTTAAAAGGAGTTCAAGGATTCTAGAGGTCCTTCTTTGATAGAAGCTACCTTTTCTTGTGAAGCAACAAATGCATCCCTCAGACTTGGTGGTGAAGGTCTCAATGAAAGGATTTGGGGTATTGGGCACTTGGTCATCAGGACTGCTTTTAATTCTGAGAGAGGGAAAGTTGTGGCCATCGATAACCCCTTTGTCTAAATGTCTAAATGTTCTAGTGTAGTTCCACCCACAACAAATTCAATAGCTTAATCAGGATTAAGAAGGAGAAACTTATCTTAAAAAAAAAAGCCTATAGGGGCAGGAAAGATAGTACAGCGGGTAGGGGACTTGCCTTGCTTTTGGCAGACCTGGGTTAAATTCCCAGCATCCCTGAGCTCACCAGAAGTGTTTTCATATGTCAGGGCCATGGATGAGTCAAAAAACAAAACAAAACAAAAATCAAAATAAAGGAAAGCCTGTCCACATCTAGAAGCAAGATACTAGTCACAAAATATCATGATGCTGGTGTTTATTAAAATAAGTCGTCATCTCTTCACATACTGGGAGAAGGCTGGATCTTACTTGGAGGGTGTAGCCAAAAGGATTATCATCTCCCTCCTGATGTTGGTCCCATGTTTGTGATGGGTGTGAACCATGAGAAACATGACAAGTCCCTCAAGATTATCAGCAGTACTTCCTGCACAACCAATTGCTTGGCCTCTCTGGCACGCTCATCCATGAATGTTTTATTGTGAGAATCTTGTGGAACTTTGTCTTTTCAGATTGGCTTTTGTTCCACAAAGTAATAGCATATGAGTTTTGTCTGTCCTTTTTCAAGGATTGATAACTTGTTTATTTCCACACTGAATTATCTGGAAGAACCAGTTTAACTATACACCTACTACTGAAGAACAACTTGATTGCTTCCAAGTTTTGACAATTATGAAAAAAAAACTGCTCTATACAATAATGTGCAGGTTTTTGTATGAACAAATGTTGAAAACATTTGTGTAAATACCAAGGAATACAAATGTGGGATCGGATAATAAAATTATGTTTAGTCTTCTAAAAAGTTGCCAAGCATTTCACTAAAGTGACTTCACCATTGTGCGTTCCCAGTATGAATGAAAATTCTTGCTGTTTCATATCATTATCAGCATTTCATGTTGCCAGTGTTCAAGATTTTGGCAATTTTAATGATGCTTAATGATACTTTGTTTTGTGTCAATATGAGTTTCCTGATCATACTTGATTTCATGTCGTTATTTGCCATCAGTATATCTGTATTGTGAGGTATCTTTTAAGATTTTTGGTTCACTTTAAATTTTTCTTGTTTATGTACATATTACTGGATTTTATTAGTTCTTTATGTATTTTTTAAACAATACGTGATAGATCTTTCCCAAATATTTTCTGCCACTCCATGACTTGTCTTTTTATTCTCTTGACAGTTTCTTTTCTAGAGAATTTAAGTGGATTTAAATTTGCTAACTTTGATTTTGAGCAAACTGAAGAAACTACCTTGCATATTTCTAATTTAAATATAATTTAATTATACACCAAGAATCTAAAACAGAATGCATAAGGGCTTTTTAATATTGAAGTTGGGAAATTTGAATGAGAAAAGAACTGTTAATGTACATTTTCCTTTTTTTTTGTTTTTTAGGCTACATCTGATAATGCTCAGGGTTTACTCATGGCTATGTGCTCAGGTCACTCCCAGTGAGCTCGGGGTCCCATACATGTTGCTGGTGTTTAAACCCAAGTCAGTCATGTGCAAGGCATATGCCACATATTATATCTCTGGTTCAAAATATACATTTCACAAATACACATTTTATTTTTATTTATTTATTTATTTATTTATTTATTTATTTGGGTCACACTCGGCTATGCACAGGGGTTACTCCTGGATTTGCACTCAGGCATTACTCCTGGTGGTGCTCAGGGAACTATATGGGATGCTGGGAATCGA